GCTAAAATTTTTAAGAAGTAATTTTCTTATATAGGAATGATTTTGGAATGTTTCAGAATTAGTGATAATGACATATTTTCATACTTTGTCACTACCTAAGTGTGATTCAACTATTTTTGTGACTGTTTATACTATAAGAATCTACCATAAGTGCACTAACATGATAATTTCTTTTTCCAAAAGTGTTTTTTTACATATAATGTAGAGATGAAAAATATAGCAATATATTCTGGACCTCAGTAATTTGTTGAAATGTTTAAAAATATGTGTGTGGAATTATGCTTTGAGTGTTCTCCATTAATCTTGTGCTGCAGATGGACAGGAAATGGAGAGATTATCTTTGATGAAAACAGCCAGGAAAGTTTTATGCAGGTGGCAGGAATTTAGATAGCTGACAGAATTTTCCAATGTCTCACCTATTCATTTCATAATATATTATTAGTCCTGGAGAAAGAGTTGATTTGTTTATTCTTGTAGAGTACATAAACTGTGGCTAAGTATTTTTACATGTAATAAGTAATTTAACAACCATCTGTTGAAAGCTCACTAAACTTTAAGGATTGAATTTTAAAATACAACTCTCATTAAATCAGGCTCCTGTCATAAAACATAGGTTTCATCCAGATGTTAATTTTAAACCTTACAATAAGATAATAATGGGACCTGTTGTTTATAAAAATATTGATAATTGAGTAAAATATGAAAAATAACAATTCCTTATAATTGAATACTAGACGTATATATAGTAAAAATATTTTCAGATTTTATTTTAGCAAAAGAAAAAGAAGTGGTTGAACATTCACCAAAAATGAATAGCAATTCTGTGTGTTACAGAGAGTTTATAGAAAATGGAATGAAAAGTACAGTTGATTTTGATGCACTTGTTTGTTGCAGAAACATCTTTTTTCATACAATATTTGAAATTGTTATGAGAAAACAATTCATAAATATTTTGCATTCAAATTTATTCATTTTTCCTACAGACTTCTTCAAGTACCTTTATACAAAACCACATGGTAGGGTAGTTGTGTGTCTAGGACAGACTTTCCACAAATTATTTGTCTGTTAAGGCATTGGTGTGATGATTCCAGGCAAAAGAAGTTGTGACACTGGCCACTCCTCTCTGGGGAGGTGTTGGATATTGCATTTGCCTGGAATATGTCAAAGTGTCCTATTAGGCTTTGATGGTGGGAAAGGCACAGAAATATCTGGAGATCTCTATCAGCCTGTTCTCCTAAAATCCAATCTACTGGGTATACTTCTCTGAATCTCTTCTTCATGCTTTATTTTTAGATGAGCTATCACTGTATTACTTCAGCATTACAAATGAAAAGTTAAGAAAGAAACGTTACGGTGGCATTAAAGTTGCTAAGCCACTGTTACTAATTTGTAAAATGGATATTTAGTGTTTTTGGCTATTTGTGAAAAATAAATATCATCATTTGTAGTAAGAATTACATGGTTTTAAGAAACTGGCAGAATAATATTTAAGAAGAGTAATTTTTTTGACATTATTTCCCTGACAATTCAACCAAAGAATGGAGCAAAATTTATTATTAAATTAGGTCCAGTCCCCAAAATCTGCTAGAAGGAGAGTAGGTTTTGTTGTGGGGAGCCAGACATGCAATTGCTTTTGTGTATTAAAATTTTTCTTCTTAGACATTTCCATTATAGTCAACTATTATCCTGCCGAGGCTATAAATAGAATTTGTATGGAAACCAGACCAAAAAGCCATTCAGCTAAAGCATCAGTCATTTTGGATATAAAGAGAACAATAGCAAAATGAGAATATGAATTTATTTAGTCATAAGAAAAACTGATTTAAGCCAACTACACAACTTACTGTTGATTAGTACCCTGAAAAATCCTGTGGACCTCAGTAGCCATCACAGACATGATACCAGGAGCCAGGTGATACTGTCTGGGAACACATTTTGACCAGTGATCATTTTCTGAGTTGACTAAGTGGGAGCTTCCATTCTATCTCAAATCAAGTATATACGTACATTTCCAAATTCCAAAACACTGACTAACAGGCTTGTATGATCCATGTATTTCTTTGGGAAGCTCTACAATATATGACCTGTGTCCTCTTAGCATTAGGCTAGTAGGAAAACAAAGCATCTGCCAATTATTTATTTGAAAGGTAGAGTTATAGAAAGAGAGAAGGCTTCTGTCTGCTGGTTCAGTTCACTGTCCCGAATCAGTGTAACAGCCAAAGTTGGGTAAGACTGAAGTGAGAAGCCTGGAGATTCTTGTGTATTTCCATGGGGTTGTAAGGACCCCAGGACTTGGGCCATCTTCCACTGCTTTCCAAGGCACGTTGCAGGTATCCAGATTGAAAGTGGAACAGTAAGGACTTGAACTAACATCAGCATGATGCCAACATCATAAGTGTTGGTTTTACCCAGCACACCACATTGCTGGTCCGTTGCTATTAGTTTTAGAAGTTTTGTATTTTGTTTTGCTTAATAAGAAGTAGTGCTTTGCTTTCTTGCCAATCTCCACCATTGATTTTATTTATGAAGCAATATTACTTTTAATTAATGTTACACATTTATTTTCATCTTATTTAAAGAGGCAGGAAGAGACAAGGATAAGGAGGTGGTAGTGGAGAGAGAGCGAGGAGGAGAAGAAGGAAAGGGAGGAGAGACATGGTGAAGGGAAGAGAAAGGAGAGGGGAGAAGTGAGGGATCTTTCATTTGCTGTTTTTTTTTCTCTGTTACAATATGTGCACATTTTGATAATATTAATTGATCATATTAGTTCTTCCAATTTATCAACTCATTAATGTGAAGGATGTTTTCTTTTTATGGTTTATTCCTCTATTTCTTTCCTTAATGTTTTATAATTTTTGTTGTTGATGTCTTTCACCTCTTTTGTTAAATTTATAACAGAATGTCTTTTTTTTGGGTATTTGTAGTGAATACAACTGACCCTACATGTTCTGTCTCAGCTACTACACTGTTTAGATATATAAAGGCTGTTGAGTGTGTGTGTGTGTGCTTATTTTGTATCCTTCAACTTTGCCAAACTCCCTTATTAGTTCTAGTCATCTCCTAGTGGACCCTTTGGTTCCTTTGTATACAGGATCTATCAGCAAACAATGATAATTTGACTTTTGTCTTTTTCCCATTTGTACCTTTGACTTCTTTTTCTCACCTAATGATTGGCTAAAACTTCCAGATTAAGATTTTTTTCTTTTCATTAAAGAGGCACAATTGTAGAGCAAGACAGACAGAAAGATTGAGATCTTCCAACTGCTGTTTTACTGGCCATGTGGCTGCAATGGCCTGGGTTGGGCCAGTTGAAAAGCCATGTACCAGGACTTTCTTCAGTTTTTTTATGTGAGTACGGGGGCCTCAGCACTTGGACCATCCTTCGCTGTCTTGCCAGCTGCATTAACAGAGCTGGATTGGAATTGAAGCAGATAGGACTCAAACTGTCATGCATATGGGATGATGCATTGCATGCAGTGACATATGCCCCCCAATTCCTTAATGCTGTCCCCTTTTGAATTGTACTGAATAGTAATGGACTATCATCATTTAATTCCAGATATTTCTTACAGCTTTTGCTCATTCAAAATGATGCTAGCTGTGGGTTTGTCATATATTGCTCTGATTGTGTTGAAGTTTGTTTTTTCTATATCCAGTTTAGAGCGTCTCTCAGCTGGTTCTTAAACTATAAAATGTGCTTTGCCAAAATAGTCACCTTACTGTGCTAAAAACTTCTTTATCTTCTTCCATTCTCCTCCATCTTCTTTCTTCTCCCTCTTCCTTCCTCTGTTCAGTTTCCTGTTTCTTCCACTTATGAGAGAACAGGCAGTATTTTTTTGTCCTTTGAGTCTGAATTGTTTCCCTTATTGTAAGAAATAATAGATCCATCTATTTTGTTGTATATGACAGGATTGCAACAATTTTTACAATGGGATAGAAGTCTGGATATATACACACCTTATTTGCTTTATCTGTTCATTTGATGATAGGTATCTGGGGAGCTCAAATCTTGACTATTGGGAGTGGTGCTGCAACGACAAGTTCTTCTTTTATAGAATGTTTTAATTTTTCTTCTATGTAGACCTGTTTGTGGGGCATCTGGATTTTATCAATCTATCTATCTATCGAGCACTTTTTAAAAGATAATCCAATTTAAAAGTAGCACATAATCTGAATAGTTGTTTTTCAAAAACTGGAACACAAATGCCACCAGTTGTGAAGAAATGCTCGAAATCAATACTTAGGAACATGAAAATCAAAACTAGAGTAAGCCATCTTTTCATTCTGATTAAAATGGCTTTTATAAAAATACAGGAAGAAATTGAAAACTGAGGAAGACTGTGGCAAAAGGAGAATTCCTATTGTTGAGGACAATGTTAATTATTATAAAAACCCTGGAAAACAGGATGGGAAGCTGTACTTCCAAGAAGCTTCCACAATGTTGATATTTCTTGTTTTCTGACCACACTGTATTGAATAGCATAGGTCTAATATTTCTTGGATATATCAGTAATGATGTACCATCAGAGTACAGAATATTTTCAAAATCTATGACCTCCAAGCTCCTAGAAGTCATTGAAAAATCTTGCATTACTTGCTGTTACTAAGCACATCTAAATAGTATGGAATTTATTAATTATTCCAGATTAACAACAATGTTTTATTGTAAGTTATGGTTTAGGAGACTTTGATAATGTATCTTAATGAGTTTTTTACATATTAAAATATATTATTTTCCTTCTGTCTGATGAAAATGTATTATATTTGATATCAAATAACTTCCGGTTTGCAGCACGCATGGAAATATATATATCTATTTATAGCTGTTAGTATTTAGGATCCTATTTTTTTTTGTGGTCCTACAACCATGAAGCCATGGAATATAATGCAGAAAAACTAATAACTGACTTCACTGTTATGTTTTTGTGCCATCAAATATTATCAATGAAAAAGGATTAATGCTGTTTCTTTCTTTCTTTTTTTTTTTTAAATAAAATCAGCTCAGTCACTAAAGGAATTTGCAAGGCTACTAATTGCAGTAGAAGAAGAAAGGCGAAGATTGGTAAGTCTGTTTCCTACTTAGAAATGTTGACTTGTTAGGACACACTTAAACAAAAAATAGATTGCCTGTACTAGTCAGATTTGCCATATGTCCTACATATTATATTTGTTTGTGAAAAGATATGTGATTATGGTTATCATATATTGCTAATAAGCTGCATAGTTTGTGTCATTGTCTAACAGATGCAAATTATCTTTTATTAATTAAAAATATTCAAAAGTTACTATTAAGAACTCATTGTAACCCAGGAAACATTTAGCAGTTCTATTTTGGGTAAAAGAAATTGTATCGTGATAACCTTTGTGTTCTCATAAAGACATTTCAAATAGAAAAGGCATTTTTTGGAAGGAGTGACTAACCTGCCTTCATATTTGCAAGAAACTACCTTATGCTGGTTGCCCTGGGGTTAGAATTTTAAGGCCAGGAAGATAGTGCTAGGCTGGGGAAAATACGGAAAGCATTTTATATTTGTAGGTTAATTAAGGCAAAATAATCAGAGCATTTTTACTATTAATACATTTATTAATAAAAGAGTGTTCTATCCATTCTATTAATTTTTTTCACGGTATCTGTTTATGACTTGTGTTCCTATCTGTAATGTAGCAGAAATAGCAGCATATTCTTCCCATCGCATTTGCTTTGATCTGAATTGTGACACCTAAATTTTATGCTACTAGATCATTTAGTGCTTTATAAATTAGTTCTGTGAGCTCACAGCGTCACTTCCACTTCCACAGTGACTTTAACCAGGATATGTACTAAGGGACTAGAAGAGGAGCTAATATTGAAAATAAGAATTGTTAAGTAGACATGAAAATTAGGAGTTCACAGTATCATGGAAAGCAGGAGAATAAGCACTCCTGGATTGGTGAGGCTGTGTCTTAGATCTTATTCTGATAGTTCGGGAGCATATTGAACCAACCAGCATCTGTTACAAGTTTTGAAGATGTGTTAATGTAAAGAATATGCGAAAGTATGTGTAGACTGTGGGAAGAAAAATAGTCAACAAAGTTTTCCCATGGTACAAAGGAAAGTTTGCTTTTGTTTTGTAAGCATGAAAGCAGGATTTATTTAAAGAGAGTGTGCATAGTCAAGACAAAAGTTTTGGTAGCTAGTGGGAAAAACGGCTCCTGTGAGATTGTTTGCATTCCTGTTCATCTGCTTCCTTTTCTGGGTAGATGGTAGTGCTGTACTTGAATATACAAGTAGGGTGGAAATTGGGTGCTGCTGTGGGTTGATCTGTGAGTTGATCTGTGGATCATGGCGTGATCTGTATGACAGATTCCTGGTATCCTCATACAGAGCTCAGTTTATATCTGCTCATCATGATATCTTCTTATTTTTTAAAAAAATTATTAATATAAAGAGAACATGTTTTGTGTATTCTATAAATACAATTTCAGAAGATGACCACAGTTCCCTCACTCTTTTGCTTCCATAAGTGTTCCTCCCTAAATCCCCTCTCTTCATTACTTCATAAGTTGTGATTTTAATCCACTCTATATTCCAAGGTTTAATTTGCCTCCAGTATTATTTTATAGAACAAGTAAAGATGGGAGAATTACAGTTCCACTGAAGTATAAATGACAGTCATATCCCAAAGTGACCATTTCATTCCTATACTTTTTTTTTACATATCATGTTGTATTTTATGTATCAGCTGCTCTATCAGAAAAAGCATAATATTTGTATTTTGGGGCTTGGCTTAATTCATTAAGCATAATGGCTTCCTGTTGTGTCTATTTGTTGCAAAAGATGGGATTATACTTCCTTTTAATGGCTGAGTAGTATCCATATTGCATGTATATCACATTTTCTTGTCATCAGTTGATGGAGGTAAGGGTTGATTATATATATCTTAGTGATTGTGAATTGAGTTGCTGTAAGCATGCAACTTCTGCATAGTTTGTTCCACAATATTTTTTCTTCACCTTATTACCAACAATGGATTAGGATATCTTTTCCCCAATATCCTTGTCAGAATTTATTGTTTGGGTTTTGGGATGAAAACCATCTATTAGGATTTTGGCATGATAGCCCCATTCTGGGATGTGGTGGAATCTCACTGTGGTTTATATTTGCATTTCGCTGAGTGTTAATTAACCTGAGAATGTTTTCATGTGTCAGTTGCCCATTTGTAATTCATTCTCTGAAAATTTGCTATTCATGCCCCGTGCCTGTTTGTGAACAGAGTCATTTGTTTTGTTGTTGTTGAATTTCTTGAATATATTCCGGATAATAGTACTTTGTCAATTATGTAACTTACAAATGTTTTCTCTCATTCTGTTGTTTGCCTCTTCATTTTGTTGACAGTTTTCTTTACAGTGCAAAATTTCTTAGTTTGATGTAACAATTATTTGTTTTTGCCTTAATTACTTGTTCTTCAGAGTTTTTTTTTTTTCCAGGATGGCTTTGCCTAAGTCTGTTTCTATTAAAATTTCCCTGATGTGCTCTTCTAGTAATTTGTTTGCATCAGGTCAATAGATACTTGATCCATTTCAAGCTGACACTTGTATAAGGTGTAAGGTAAGGGTCCTGTTCGCACATCTGTACATGTGGACTCAATGCTGCCATCATAATTTGTTGAAGAAACCATCCTTTCTTGAGGGATCGACCTCAGGCCTTTTGTCAAGATTAATTTCTGTGGTTTCTATTCTGTCACAATGTTCTACATGTCTAGTTTTGTACCATGTTGATTTGATTATAACTGTCCTGAAATATGTCCTGAAGCCTAGGATTGTGATGGCTCTGGCTTTGCTTTTGCTGTTTAAGGTTGCTTTAGCTATCTGTGTTTGCATGTAAATTTTAGAATTATCTTTCCCTGGATATGAGAAGAATGTTGTTGATATTTTGATTAGAATCGCATTGGGTCTGTAAATTGCTTTTGGTAGTATGGACATTTTGTTGATATTAATTCTTCTACTGTAAAAGCAAGGAAGATTCTATAGGTTTTTTTTTGCATGTCATCTCCTATTTCTTTAATGCGTTCTATTTTTATTTGTAAGAATTTCACTTCCTTAGTTCAATCTATTGGGTATTTCGTATAAATATTGTGAATGGGACTGATAATACATGTCCTTTCTCGATCATGACATTTTCTGTGGATACAAAGCCCTTTGTTTTTAGAGGCCTATAAAGCCCTATAACTTTAAGAAACACTTTTATGAGTTCCAGTTGGTCTCTTAGTGGAGTGTTTTGGTCTCCCTGTATATACAATTATGTCATCTATAAACAGATGAACTCTCCATTTCTAATTTGTATTCCATTGATTTCTTTGTCTTGCCAAATGATCCTGGCTGATTTTCCAGAATTGTATTGAACAGCATTGGTGAAAGTGAACATCCTTATCTGATTCAGGGTCCTAATTGAAATGCTCCCTAGTTTTCCTCATTCAATATGATACTGGCTATGTGTTTCCCTTTATTGCCTTTCTTAATGTTCCTTGTCTATATAATTTACATGAAGATGTTGTGCTTTAACAAATGCTTTGCTTCTGTTGAAATGGTCATGTGGTTTTTATTCAGTTTGTTGATGTGATGTATCATATTTATTCATTCACATTTCTTAAGCCATCTCTGCATACCAGGTATAATTCTCACGTGGTCTATGAAGTTATGCCTTTCTGATTTATTCATATGGGCACTAATTGCTATAAGGTTTCCACTTAACTCTGCTTTTGCTGTATCACAAATGTTTTGATATGTTGTATTGTTATTTTCACTCATTTCCAGGTATTTTTTGAATTTCCTTTTTGATTGCTTCTGTGATTCACTTTCATTCAGAAGCATATTGTCCCATCTCCATTTGTCTGCCAGTTTTCTAGTTTTTCTTAGATTGTTAATTTCCAGCTTCTTTTCATTGTGGTCAGAAAGGATACATGTTATAGTATCTTATTTTGAGTTTGTTGAGACTTGGTAAAACGATCTGTCTTATTGCGAGTTATTAAAGAAATTTCTCAAGTACCAGAGGGAAAAACTTGGCTTTTATGTGGGAGCAAAGGAAGAGAATGCTAGTAATGACAATACAAATTTGTAACAGCAAATTGAGTAAGTAAATAGAGAATAGCACTAGAAAGAGGTGCTGTCTGCTGTAGAGTGAAGTTCATAGTGCTTTAAAATGATCAGGAACTGGTTATTTTGGAGAAGTATGAAAGCACTACTACTCAGTACTGGTGGGCTGTTGAGGTTGTATACATTATGTATATTTCCCAAAAACTAATAAACATGCTTTAATGGATTCCCCTTGTAATATCTAGTACTTTACTGAGAGAAATAAGTACAAATCAGACATTCAGATTCAAATTTGTGGTTGACATGGAAGAGAGAATGCTAAATTAAAGGGGCATGGATTTATATACTTAGAAAGTGGAGCTAGGGTATTTATAGTGATAATCTGATAACCCTGGAAAGCAGACAGGGTGATATAACCATGTCATTACATTGAGGATTCACTGGGAACGAAGGGGAGCAAGGCAGAAGTCTCGTAGTAGTATTTTTAGAAGGAGTTGAACTGTGCTAAGCTTACTGTTGGACCTTGTCCTACTAGTACTGAGTTTAACATGTTGGTGTACTGGCTAACAGATCTTGGGGGTTGAAGCACAGATACTGGGATGGTTGATGGGTAAGACCTCAAGCGCATCCAGTGTGATGGCAGATTAAAGGACAGAGACCAAGGAGAGAAAACGATTGAGATAAAGATTGGAGATGAAGATTGGACCACCAGTGTTTACTGATCCATACATCTTTGTATCTGCCTCTCGTGATATTTTGATGATGTGCTTCATGAGCGAGCAAAATTGTATTATGGTTTTTATTACTTTAGTTTTTTTTTTTTTTTTTTTTTTAAGAGAAAGGCAGAAATAAAGAATGTTCAAGCCCTGGGTGTGAATTGATGATCCCTGTTGTGCTGCCTAAGGAACTGAATTTCCGAAACAGTTATAGACAGATTCAATCATTTAATATGCAAACCTAACCATTAGAGTGGTGAATGAATACTTCTAC